CTATCATCTAGATTAAAAGAACTTGTACTCGTTCCATCAGCAGCTTGCCACCCTTTCACCATTTGAAGCAGGGGTTGACCTAAATCAATGCCCAACGATTCATCGAGGTCGTCCTTCACGGGCCTCCATTTCTCAACAAGAGGAGCAAGCACATTGACTGCATGGCCCATCTCTGGCCTTTGGTGGGGCTCCCTTGCAGTGCAATGGCCAGCAAGCTCTGCAACGGTGCAAATTTCCTCGAAGGTTTCTTCTGATATATCAAGTGATCTGTCGACTGCATCCCTGAGCATCTCTTTGTCGAACTTAACATTATAAAACCAAGAGGCTAGATGACGGGTTTCTTCTGGTCGGTCCTCATCAAGTGCGGTCATCCCAGTCAATAGTTCTATTAGAACAACTCCGAAACTGAACACATCAACCTTTGTTGTAACCTTCCCTGTCACTGGATTCAACCAGAGAAGGAAATGTTGATCAATGCAGTTTTCTTATGGCCAAAGCATAAAATTTGAAGAAAGAAAATAACAGTTCAAAGAACTAGATGCTTTTGTTGTATCTAATAATACAATGCTACAAGAAAAAATAGCATACTAAAGGCATCGATTGCATGTGCCTAGCTAGTATTTTGGCTATTTATAGTTATTTCCAATATAATATAACCTAATAGTTGAAATTTTTAATACCATTATATGTTGCCGTAAATATATTTATAGGTTTGCTTTTCGACAGTGTTACAATAAAAGATGAAATTGTCACATATTTGTAAAAGAATTTTCTGAGCAAGTTAAACATACCAGCATATTCAGGAGCAAGATAACCAAAAGTCCCAGCAAGTCTAGTAGCAACAGAGTACTCCCCATCGGGAGCAAGTTTAACAAGTCCAAAATCAGAAACTTTTGCTCGATAATCATCATCAAGCAGTATATTCGAGGATTTGAGATCTCGGTGAATAAACGATTGATGAGCCAAACTATGGAGATATTCCATAGCACGAGCAACATCCAGTGCAATATTAAGCCTTCTCTTCCAAGATAGAGGTTCTATGTTCAGTTCTTTCCAGTGGAAAAGATGTTTACTTAGTGCCCCCTTCGGCATAAACTCATAAACCAAAAGTTTTTCATTTCCTTCAGCAGAGAACCCCAAAAGTGATACCAAATTACGATGTCTGACCTTTGATAGTACTGCAATTTCAGCCTGAAACTCATCAAATGCTTTGCTAGTCAACACTCCAGACTCCATTCTCTTGACTGCAATTTGAGTACCATCATGAAGCTCTCCTTTGTAAACAACACCAAAACCACCACGGCCGAGCACTTGCTCTGCAGAGAAATTCTTTGTCACATTACGGAGAATTTGGACAGATACTACCAAATTTCCAGATTCAATGACATGTGTGTCGCTTGTACCACCACTTGTACTTGCCAAGAGATCACTTGAAGGAACATCGTTACTGACATTATTTGCAATAACAACTTTAGATGCATCCTCGAGATCTGGGGAATCTCCAGGGTGGATGACGATAGAGGATGGTGCCATAAAATTTCCCTTTTTAACCTTTCGGCAGCAATATACAAGTAGACCCGTAACTAAAACGAGCAATACACTACCTACAATCAATAAAATAATTATTAGGAGTTTGGATTTTCTTGATTCTTTAGATCCGTTACTTGAATTTGATCCATCACCATTTGGTGATTTATCAGGTGAACTCCCTGGAGGAGAGGCAGCGTTCAATCGTGGATTTCCATCGACAAGTAGCTTCACATTACTACTGAATGTTGGGAGAGGAGGTTCAATATTGTTATCAGAGAGATTCAACAACTTCAATGATGACAAGTTTGTGAAATCATCAGGAATTGTGCCATTTAAATTGTTGCCGCCAAGCATTATCTCAACGAGAGAGTGTAATTTTCCCAGCGAAGAGCTAATTGTGCCATTTAATCCAAGATTTGGGAGATTAATACGTGACACATTGTTGTCACTAGAGCAGGAAACCCCGAACCATGAATCACAAGGATCATTGCCAGACCATGAAGTTGCAAGTTTCAATGGATAGTTCACATCGCCAAGGAAATTCAAAAGGGCGGTAACTTGGGGTGAGCAAGGCTCCCCAGGTGTGGACTGACAAAATGAATTGGGAAAATATGAGAAGTTGAAGGCTACTTTCGGTATTGGACCCATTAAGTTGTTGTTCTGCAAATTCAATACTTCAAGCTCCGGTAAGGCAGTCAAATTATCAGGAATAAGGCCTACAAGCTGATTCTTGTTGAGCCAAACTTGTTTCAGTGAAGTGCAAGCCCCGATAGCACTAGGAATTGGGCCAGTGAAAGAATTTCCATGAAGCCAAAGGATTGCTAACTGTGTCATAGAAGCAATGACATCGATTGAGCCATTCAATCCATCCCCTAACTGATTGTTAAGCTTCAAGATCTGCAGTTGCATTCCAGAATAGCTTGCTGGGATCGCGCCTGAGAGGTTATTATAAGACATATCAAGAACCGTTAAAGAGCTCATGTTCCCCAAGAACTCTGGCAGCGGGCCAACGAGATTACAACCAGTTAGGGATAAATTAGTCAATTGCACAGAATCCTTTAGATCCAAAGGCAATTCCCAACCGCTGCTCTGATTCAAAGGATTTTTCTCCAAGGCAATGACTTGTAAACTTGTAAGGCCATTGAAGAAATCAGAGGGGATCAAGTCAAACTTGTTATTACCCAAGTAGGCTTTCTCAAGTTTAGACAACTGAGCAAATGATGGTAGACTTCCAGAGAGCTCGTTGTTTTGGATGCCAACATTTATGAGCTCAGTGAGTTTGTTGAAGTCTTGAGGGAGAGTACCGCGCAACTGTAGGTTTTTGGTTTGGATTTGAGTTACGCGAGAACCTTGACAGAAGATATAAGGCCAAGAATCACCACAAGGATCACTGCTTGTCGAAGGCCACTTAAGAACTTCGGGATTCTCCAATCCTTTGATAAATTCTTGAAGGATAGCAAAATCGTTGGGGTCTGTTGCACTCCAGACAGTTGAATTTAGGCACAAGAGGCTTAACAGGAGAACGAGAAATCTGAACGTTGAGAAGAATAGTCCTTCCATGGAAAAAAAAAAACTACGAATTAACAGAAGAACTGCTTATTTTACTTGAATCATCACATCACCTCTGTTTGAACAAAATGCTACGAAGCTTGTCTCTGCAAAAGATAATGCATGAATGTTATCATTAAGGTTCAAATTGGAAGCTCAAATATACTAAAAGCACATAAGAGAAAAACAATCAGATAATTTTGCAACAGTATAAAGTTGAATGAGAAGCTAGATATCATGTATTTGAAACTGATTACAAATGTAGCCACTTATACAACTCCCAAACTATTTTGGACACTAAGACACTTTAATTACAGAACAAGTTCCCTCATCTTTATAACCCTCAGATAAAATTAATGGCCACTTCATAATCTAACTCAATTGAAGATAAAATATGGCAGAAATTTTTTAAATAAATAAATAAACCACATATCTCACCACCACACAAGCGAAAAAATCACAAAGATAGATTACAAATACATCCCAGATCTCCAGAAGCTAACAGGATCAAATTTCGACCAAAAAGAAGAGACCTTGCTTTAGACTCCAATGGCCATTCCTACTAAAACCCAATACCCATCAGCAAAAATAATGAAATATAACAAGACCCGGATCTAAAAACCCTAAAGAACAAATTTTGGAAAACAAAGGAGGCATCTTCCTCTGGTTTCAAATGGCTATTCAGAATAAAACACATCAAAATTCAAACTTTTCAAGTTTTTTGCGAAAAATTGCAGCGTGCAAGAATTTTAACATTATTATAAAGAAAGATCTGCTTACCCTGCAGAAGAGAAGCATTGTACTCCGAGAAGAAACCAGCCCCCGAGAGAGAGTGAGGAGAGAGAGAAAGAGAGCGCTTTTTCTCTCAGATTTGTGATAATTTTTGTGAGGGTTTATTTTGCATAGAAACCCAAAGATTACGCTGATTTATTTTTAAACCCTTTTCTTAAAAATTTAGCAAGAAAACCATGATGAGTTTTTGTTGAACTCGGATTGTTGTTTTGCTATAGTTTTGCCTAGTTTCTTATAGGATTAATTGCAACTAGATCCCTTGTAGAATCACCCAATAGGGTATCGACCCTTTGTAGATCTATTTTTGTGAATGGACCCATTGAGTGATTGTTTTTTTACTCTTAAAATTTAGGCTCCCTATAGTTTTATTGGTGAGGATAAACCCCAATTGTTAATTTTTTAACTTTTAAAAAAAGTAGGAAAAGTTCACTAATAATGTGTATTCGCACTTGAGCCAATACTAGATGGTCTATACACAACAAATATTATATTTGTAATTGGGTGATACTACAGAAGTCTATACACAATTAATCCTTTGTTATACTTATGATTAAGTTGTTATATTTTGATGTAAATTAATATATTTTAGACTAGTTTTCTATTTCTTTTAAGGCATCATATATGAAGCTCATGAAATATAGAAGCTGATATTAAAAATGACTAATTTGTTAATATAAGAGTTATTAAAGTGGACGAGTTTAAAAATAAATTAGGATAAAACTTTGGGTATAGTAAAAAGAAAAAGAAATAGATGTCTCATATTGTAATGTTTAATTGTGGTTCCCTTTTTTTTGTGCTATTAAATGGAAGATGTTTATTATCATACTGATGTACAGTACATTATATAAATTTTTAGACATGAGAATAGCAGATTATTCATTCTTATTCCGTGAATTTATTTATTATAATGTCGGAGGGGTTGGAATTTAATAATAAAAAAAGGAGTTGAATTAAAATATTTTATTACCACAGGTTAGAAAAGTATTACTGTATTAGTTTGCCCACCCATTTTCTTAGATTAAAATTTAGAAATTAGGATGAGAATTGAACATTATAAGTTACGGACGTTGTCTTAATTAATAAATACTTGCATATAATTCAATTACGAACATAGTTTTGCCCTTGTAGAGGAAAATATTCTCTTCTCAAAACTATGTTAGATGAAGATTTTTCAAAGAAGATTTTTTTTTTTTTTTGAAAAAATAACATGTGGATTTGATTTTCGTCCTCCAAAACCCATGTTGTCATATAAAATAACTCATGAGAGAGGAATAATATTTTTTTTTTCAGGCCGACCTGAGCTCAATGGGTTAATAAATTAAAGTTTGGTACTGCATTTCCTTTTTTAAAATTTAGCTTAATAATAGAATACATTATTTTAGAAAACCCAACTATAGTTTTCTTAAAGTTTCTCTACAGTAAAGCGTGCCATCATCAAATTTACTATATGCATCTATAAGTCATGATATCGTCCAAATTATAAGTTCAGCATGGTGACCATCTCCACGCCATAATCATTGTCAAACATTATTTATACATTCATGTGCTTTATTCAAAAAAAAGGAAAAAGAAAAAAAAAACCATATTTATTTGAGGATAATTTTTTTTGTTTTTTTCTCTGAATAGTTTTTTTATATAAATTTACAAAACAAATATATGATGAACAAAATACTAACTATGTACAATAAGCCTGGTCACGTCCCCCGATTCTTATCAAAAGCGACATAAATGCTTATGTTTCCAATAGACCATGTTGTAGATATTATATAAGCAAGATAGTAATCATAATTTTTTTTTTGACAAATTGAGTTATTTAAATAAAGTCCACTCAGATTTCTTAAGCGTCACTTTTCTATTTCAAGCATCTACATACATTGCATCATTATACTTAAAAGTCTTAACCTCTCATTAATCTTCTTCTAAACTCTCTAGTTGCTTCCTCATGATTAATCACAAATCTACAACGGCTAAATACCCATATTGGTATTTTAATTCCACCCCATTTACCAAGAATGTATTTTAATTAGGCAAACCTGTTTTAAGGCATTTTAATTGATTCAACTTATCAACAAAGGCCCTTTTTCTCGTCGGCGACCAGTTTTTCGGTGAGAGCTCGTCACGTGCGTGGCACGTGATAACTTAAACTGTTTTTTAGCTGCTGATGTGACACAGATTTTCTGACGTGGCAGTGTTTAAAGGCGGGAATTAACACTCTAAAAATCCCAATTCACCCAAAATAGGACAGATCCGTGCCACATCAGCAGATAAAAAACAGTTTTAAGTCATCACGTGCCACGCACGTGACGAGCTCTCGCCGAAAACTGGTCGCCGACGAGAAAAATGGCCTTGTTGGTAAGTTGAATCAATTAAAATGCCTTAAAGTAGGTTTGCCTAATTAAAATACATTCTTGGTAAATAGGGTGGAATTAAAATACAAATATGGGTATTTAGCCAATCTACAACAAAACTAGTTACCTTCACCCAAGCTTAACTGCTTTTGTCCCTCGTAACCGATGGGCCCCACAAATCTCAATCTTTTTGGTCAACTTGAGAGGTCATGATCCTATTTATACCTAATCCTTTTTTTCATCTATTATAATTTATCAAAAATTCATTGTATAATAAGATTTTGATCAAGTTGAACCCCTCATGTGGGGGGTTGAATATTTGTAGGCAAATCAAAACTCATCAGTTAGTTATAGTGAATTAATTTGAGGTCCATATTTTATGATGGGACAATGGATAGGCATCTTTTAATCTTTAAAGAAAAAGAAAGAACATGCGCTAAACTTTTATGCTTCCATGCAGAAGAGCATCAAAAATTGCGCGTAGTCATTGTCTATTAATTTAACAACTTCAGCTTTTGAAAATGAATACTATAACCATTGTTGTTTTTATGTAAATAAATGAAAAAGAGAAGTTTTTTTGAACCTCTACACATGAACATAATTAAGCTGAAAACCAAGCACAAAGGGAAATATTTTCTCTATCCGGTGCCGACAAGGTCCGCCCCCGGATGTTTACATCTCCTCTGGTTCCTACTCTCTTCCAGTTCTTTTGGTTTGTTCATGTAAATATTTACCTTCAACCTTTTTATATAATATTTATCAAGACCAGGGTCCCTCACCCTGTTTATAATCTTCAAAAAGAAAAACAAACCCAAAGGGAAATCAATTGAGAAATGGATTGCATTTTTCATACTCTACAGGTTTTTTTTATGTTAGTCCCTCATATCTTTGATATCTTGAAATTAGTCCCTCATATCATTGAAACTGATATTAGTCCCCCAATTCTTATATTGCTCTTGCTTGAGATTAATTAATCTTAAATAGTTTGCAACATTTTTTTTTTGTGGGGTGTGTAGTAGCAACCTATATGATTTGAGGGACTAATATTGAGAAAATTTGTAGGAAATTGGAGGACCTAAGAGCAATTTCAATGATTCGTATATCCGTGCCTAAGTGGCTAGCCTAGAGTTCTCCCTTTCAGTAGGTCACCCATGTCTATCCCCTTTAAAGCACTGTGCCAAACTAAGAGGCATCTATCATAAGGTTGGCAATTGGTTGTATTTTGGATTCATCAATCAAAAAAGTATGTTTCTGTTATTTAATGTATTGTTTTATTTTTGAGTAATTATATATCTTTATGAAAAAAATGATTTAATCAGAATTAGATAAACTATGGACAAATTTTTAAAACCAACCTGTTTGCCAAAAAATTCTCAAAAAAGACCCGTTTCAAACTTAATTTCAAAAACCGACCTAGTTGGGTTAAAATTGGGTCGATTTTTGAAAAAAAATCCCAAACTTCACGGAAGTTGAAGTCCCGTGAAGTTTTGTTATATAAAAAACTTGACGGGACTTTAACTCCCGTGAAGTTTGAGAACTTTTTTTTTCAAAAACCGACCAGTTTTAGCCAACTGAATCTGTTTTTGAAATTAAGTTTGAAATAGGTCTTTTTTTTGGAATAAAATTCAAAACAAGTCGGTTTTGAAAATTTTTCTGGTAAACTATTGAATGTTATGGGCTTTGTATCAAGAGTCATGTCAAGCTCCAACAATGAAACAGATCTATTTCTCCATAGCCAAATCAAATTACTTGCATATCGATACAAGTATGTCACGAAAAAAAAATTTAGATTCATTGACCAAGTTGATCCAAATGTCTCAAGCCTAGGATTCAAATCATTAAAAGATTTGTACTTCAAATTCCTGGATGCCTAACATAGCGTGTGAATGCTAGCTGGATTTGCCTTCAAGAGCAACTCTGAAAAGATTTAAGTTTCATGTGCATTTTTGGAAGTTTTTGTAGCTCCAGTTCATGGATTCTGAGCCTTCCATGATTGAACATCGTGTTTTTCAATGATATATACTAATGAAAAAAATGGAGTATTATCAATTCTGCAGGGTACAGATGAAATTTCAAAAAGATTTATGTCATTTTTCAAGAGACAGACACAGGTACAGATATAGTTAAAAGCCTCTTTTACTTTCACACGTGAAACAGGATCAGACAATATTTCTGTTCGTTTGTTTTCAAAAAAGCAAGAAATGGAAATGGAAATGGTAGAAATCTCAAAATAATCCATTTCTTCCATTTCCATCCCTAAAACTCACTCACAACATCCAATAAAATATTATTTTCATCAAACAACTCATCCACATCATCTAATAAAATATTATTTTCATCTAACCACTCATCCACCACATCTAATAAAATATTATTTTCATCTAACAACTCATCCATCACATCTAATAAAATATTATTTTCATCCAAACATCACTCAACTCATCTCTTTTTATTATTTCAAATCACTCACATCATCGAATAAAATATTATAACAATTCACCTCATCTCATTAACATTTCATTTCTTCCATTTCATCCCAAAAAGTTGTGAAAACACATTTCTTAATCTTTCTTCACATCAACCAATAATACAATGACATCTCATCTCATCTCATTTCATTTCTTATTTTTAAGAATGAACCGAACAAAAGAAAACAAGAAAACTACAGGAAATAGGTTTCTTATAATTCATTTCCTTATTTTTTTTCGCAACCGAACAACATCAAAACTAGTTTTCTTAAAAAATCACTCACATCATCCAATAATAATGTGACAACTCATCTCATCTCATCTCCATTTCTTTGATTTCCTTTTTTTTAGCCAACCGAACACTCCAAAACAATTCTTCATTTTCCATTTCTTTGATTTCCCATTTTTTTAAGGCAAACGAACAGGCCCTAAAAGGGGAGAAAGATCTATGGAATTAATAAAGATTATTTTCAGTTGCAAACAGACCCTCTGAGGATAAGAAAGATGAGCAATGATAAATTGCTATAAACCCTGTAGACTAAGAGGTGAATCTGAAGAAGTATCATGAGCAAAATGTAATTATCATGAGCAAAAGATAATGATAAATTGCTATAAACCCTGTATGTAATCAGAAAGAGTTTGATAATCTGTTGAAATTCTCACATTGTTAAGATATACATACGCTTGACGAGAAGAACATACGCAAAATGTAATTATCGATAAAATATCAGAAAATATGACTTAAGGCAATTAAAAAAAAACAAATATGCAGGAGTATTCAGATAATACTATTGCTGCAAAGTTCTAATTTATTGAAAGTCAGTTTAATACCTAATGCATAGTTCTAATTTAAGGTCACAGGAAAGTTCAATCTCAAATATGCTTGTTTCCTGTCGATAAAACCTAAATTTTAAATACATGAATACAAACAGACAATAGTAGCAGCATGCATGCGCTGTAAATAGTAATTATTCATACCCAGCATTTCCTAATATTACAATGCTAAGCTTCTATTAGATATATGGCTAAAATACCAGATTGGCATTTTAAATAGACCCTAAATGACAATAAAGTATTTTAAATAGCTCCGGCTACAATAAGACGTTATAATTATTCAAAAGAAACGACAAGACCCATAACTTTCATCGAAGATCAATTTTTCGACTAAGTTCTCTCATGTGTTTGCATGTGATTTGTAAAATCATTTATTCTCTTGCTGATGTGGCAAGGACTTGCCCCTAGTTTGCAAAATTCCACCAATCAACACACAAATTAGGGTTTATTATTCAATTAATTGAGGATAAACACCATATTAATCGTCCTGCTCTAAAAAAACCAAACCCACAAAGAAATCTTTCAAAACTTTGAGAGGAGTCTCACCTTTGTTCCTGGTCGACGTCGTGCTCAAGTCGTCGTCCTCACCAGAGATTCTCCCTTTCTCTCAAGTCACATTCAAGATCAGAAAGATTCTTGCAAAAACTCTCCTCCAATTGCTCCCCCTCTCACTCTCTCGTTCAAGTTTTGAAAAAAAGGGTGAATTTCGCTAATTTGAGGGTGAAGAGATTGTAGGCATAGTTATTTCTCCCTCCAACCCTTGTGTCATGTCATTCCTTATTGTCCAACTCGGTCCGCAATGATCACACGGCAAGCATGCCAGGTAACTTGGCCGGAAAATTGATTTCCGATGAAAATTATTGGTCTTGTTATTTCTTTTGACTAATTATAAGGTCTTAGTATAGCCGGAGCTATTTAAAACAATCTATTGTCATTTAGGGTCCGTTTAAAATGTCAATCTGGTTTTTTAGCCATTAGAAATACCACTTTTACATAGTTTCAGGTTAAAGGAGAACAACACATCACCATGAAGGATTACTTATGAGAAGCAAAGGTAGTTCCACAAAACTACCATGAACTTTTGGAGGGGTTTGCACAAAACTAAGGTAATCATATTTTATTAGAGAAACTAGCATGAACTTCCAAAACTGCAGGAAATACAATGAAATGAAAATTGTTGAGAGCAACATTAATAGCTTGAATAAAGGACCTAAGTATCCTTGGAGAAAGAAACATGAGAGGAGGAGAATAATATACAAGCTTATTATATAATACAAAGAACAAACTTGTCTGTAACATATCATCGTCGTGTGAAGCACATGATAACCTATTGTAACCACCGTCATTAATGATAATTTTATGAAAAAATTCATGAAAGTTTACCCAAAAAAAGTACAAACATTACCCATGGAACAACATTACACACTACAGGAAACAAAAATCCACAGCCCAGCATTACCTCACTGTCCAAATGCAAACCAAATTATTCTGACAAACCAACAACATTGTCCAATTCAACAAGGTACAACACAAACCCTAAGATTTAGCAGGCACAAGCAACCCAACCTGATGATTATTCATCTCCCCCTCAACAACCCGAACCCTACCGGTCGTCGTCAAATCCTCCACCTCCACCTTCACCACATCCCTCCTATTACTAACATCCGCAAAATACCGACTCACACAATAAACCCCCACCCCCATCACCGCCATCCCATACACATTCGTCGTAAGAAGCCTTAATGGTGTCGACGCAACCACTGCCAAGTTCCCACCAACGATCGATATCGCCTGCCCGCTCTGCCCAAGGACCCCCTTTTCGGCCACAAGAAGACCCGTTTTACAGTAGATAGCGAAATCCTCGCAGTTGTTTTTGAAGACATTATAGCATCTGAAGCCGTTGACAAGTAAATGATTGGCGCGCTTGATTACGGCATCGTCGGTGTCCGAGGGGGCAAGAGTGCACGTGCCTCCACGGGCTTTGGCCAAAAAGAGGGCGCGGGTGACGGAGTACTCAAAGCGGTAGAGGACGCCACCACCAAGGAAACAGTCGAGGCAGGAGGAGACTACACCGTGGGAGTCGGACAGTTGGGTGGTGCAGATAGGGCAGGGGGTATCGGGTTGTTTAGGGGCGGAACTTACAAGGAGGAAATCAAGGGCGGTGCCTGTACCGACTTCTTGGCCTTGGCCTCGCGTAAAATGTATGACCTTGTCGTCGCTTATGTATATACCTGTTTCATGAAGATAGACGAACTGATGACGAATGATGTACAGACTCATAAAGAATGATTAATTTGGACTGGAGAGCAACATGAAAGCCAGTTACAAAATTCAGACAATGCAGGGAAACTATGAAAGTGCTAGGAAGGCGATTTTATTGAAAACAGATTACAAATTTTATAATCTGAATCCATAGATATCTCCATATTATTTCTGTCGCAAACAAATAAGATGTATTTGATGCATGCAACGAAAATAGGGCAAACTGCACACAACTCCCCTCATTTATACCTCTAGAAACACTTAATGCCTCTCAACTAAGTTATTAGCACTTAAGCCCTTCTTAATCCATGGAAACGAGGGGTGTTATCTGCAATTTATGTCTTCTAAAAAGGGCAATCCAGAGTTGCAAGTGCTAATAAATTAGTTGAAGGGTGTTATGTGCTACTAGAGGTATAAACGATGAGCTGGATTTAGGATGAAATGTGGCGCATATTAGCACCCAAAAAAAGGTTTTTTCCAATGCAAGAAAGAATGAAATCATAAATTGTGGAACGTGTTAAAAAAGCAATTTTGATCCAGTATAATGAATAAAAAGAGCATGGTGTAGATAAAATAACTAATGTAAGTAAATACGCCAAGCTGACCTCTGCAGCATGCCTCACCCACGTAAACAAGATCCATTCAACATGCATGGTTCATAAACAACCAGCTAACAATAAATTTGATTAAACACCAAAAGAATTGTATCATTTTTCATAAAATTTCAATCATAACATGATAAAATTGAACATACAGAAGATAATGACAAATGGGAGAACAGAAGGATCAAAGTGGAAAAGGAAACACTACAAGCCATTGATTCTTTTAAAAACCAAGAAGAAAATTTTGACTATAACTACAGTTTGCTTCCTTTCTTTGTTCATTCATCACAAAGGGCATCTATATACATCATAGGAGCTCATGATGGTATGAAATAATCCTAGGATATACTTAACATGTGTATTGCATATCTCAACCAAATAAGCATACAACTAAACTAGCACATAACAAGTCTATAGTAGAAAATGTATTTCTGTAGACACGAGATCAATGGTGTTTATAGTAGATGATGCACATGCTATAGCGTAGATCAAGGGATCAACAATATATGCAGAGCTGGGTGAATAAATCCATGGGAGCTAAAATATGTTGGTGATAAAATAACAGTTTGTCTTTAATATAGATAATAATGGTTAGAACAAACTAGAGCGTGTTCTCCTGTCCTTTAAGAAGTTCTCACGTCTCACTGTAAACACTATCAATAATGTTGGAGGAAATAGAGAGAATGAGGGTGATGAAGAAGTACTTGAAGATATCTATTCTCATCGAGGAAAATTGACGGTAAGGTAGCCTCGTTGGTAACAGAGTTTTAGAAAAAGACTGTAGAAATGGCAGGATTCAGGCAGACAGATTGGCGGTCGACCGCGGCGGTCGACCGCGTTCGTGCACGAGACTTACTGGGCGTCAGGATTGGTGGCGGTCGACCGCGGTGGTCGACCGCAGAAGTTTCTGTTCTGTGGGCGGTCGAGTGTTTTTTTAGGGTAAGAGCAAGGACGAATTTGAGCAGATTGAGAGAGTTTTCTTTGGGCTTCTATTCTAGGAGCAATTGGTGAGATCAAGAGTTGATTTGTTGAGGGTTTATGAGAGATTTGTAACCCTAGTTTGTTCCTCTTGATTTCTAATAGTGAAAACTCCCCCCTCCTTGCCCCGTGGACGTAGGCATCTCGCCAAACCAAAAATCTGGTGTTGATTGTGTTTGTGCTCTTGTTGGTGTGTTGGTTTATCTCTTTCGGCTATTTGGTTAGATCTCGGCATAGGGGTTTCTCCCCAACAATTGGTATCAGAGATTCGGGCAACGCTTGGGCTTTTTGGAGGGGTAGATCAGTTGGAAAGTTTCTCTAGAGCTTCGATTGGTGATAAAGGTGAAATCTTCGTGGTAAAAATTCTATCTTTGGTCAATTTTTGGATCTATTTCCTATTTGTTCCGCAATTGTTTATTGGGTGCCTTGAGATATATGGCCGGAAAGGATAAAAGTGGGGAGGGTTTTTCTAGTTTGAAGACCGTCCAAAGTTTGAATATCCATTCCATGAAGATAGATGTGGAGAAGTTCGATGACACAAATAATTTTGGACTTTGGCGATGCGAAGTCATGGATGCGCTAAATGCGCAAAATTTGGAAGATACATTGGAGTTGGACGGGAAACCAGACAACATGGATGATAAGGTTTGGAATAAAATGAATAGAACGGCGTGTGGTGTGATTAGGTCTTGTCTTACCCAAGATCTAAAATAAGCAAAGAAGATTTGGGAGGTCCTAGTGGGCAAATATTTGACAAAGAGCATCAAAAATCGTTTGTATTTGAAGAGGAGGTTTTATCGCTTCCAATTGAAGAAGGGGACATCCATTAGTGATCACATGAACCACTACACGAAGCTACTTACAGATTTGGCGAATGTAGATGTCATTGTTGAAGATGAGGATAAAGCATTGTTGTTATTGAGTTCCTTGCCCGACGAGGAATATGAGACTTTCGTCCTCACTCTTATTAATGGGAAGGCATTTCTTTCGTATAGTGAGGTCACCGCAGCTCTTATGAATTATCAACTTCGTAAGAAGGACAAGGAGACTTCCATTAAGCTGGTTACTAGTGCATTGGTTGCAAGAGCTAGAAGTCCAAACCGTGATAGGAGATCGCAGTCTAGAGGGGGGCATCCTGCAATTAGTAGGAATCAGTGTGTCTTTTGTAGAGAGGATGGACATTGGAAAACCGAATGCCCAAAATTACAAGCCGGGAAGAATAAGGGAAAAGCTATTCAAGCTTCAGAGGTGAATGTTGCCAAGGCTAGTGGTGACGTTTCAGATTCAGATTCTTCGGGCTATTAGTGCCCTGCTCTTCCGTCAGTTGGTGTTGCCGACTCTACCGAATGGATGTTGGATGCAGGTGCTACTTACCATATATGCCCTAGGAGGGATTGGTTCTCCAGCTTTCAGGAATTGAAAAGAGGGGATGTTGTACTTATGGGTAATGATCACAGATGCCCTATAGGTGGTATTGGTACCGTTCGTATTCGGACGAGTGATGGGATGATTCGGAAATTGGTTGATGTGAGGTTTGTTCCTCAACTGAGAAAGAACATCATTTCACTTGGGGTATTAAAGGCAGCAGGCTATAGGGTGATCTTGGCGGATTCTCGCTTGAAGGTCACATCGGGGTCCATGATTATGATGAAGGGCGTCAGGAGGAGTAACTTGTATTATCTGCTCGGGAGCACGGTGATTGATAGAGCGCTGCGACTTCTTTGGGTAGACTGTGGCATTGTTTGGTGCTGGTATATATTATTGGTTATGTCGTGCACAGATTGTTGAGGAATGCTATAACCTGCAGATTGAAGTCCTGTGAGCACATTGGGATGAGCGAGGAGACCGATGTGGAGTTCAGCACTTCTATCCACCGATCGAGGCGTCTTATTGGAGGTGTTCAGTCAGGTATTTGGGGGCCTTCCTGTAGGCGTCTAAAAATACCTATAGGTGTCCGCACACAGCTCGAGACAGAGAGAAGGCGATGAACATTATTATCCGAAGCAAAGAGGATCATCCGACGTCGACAAGCGCATGAAGCGAATCGGCAAACTGTTGATGACACGACAACGAACCACCACAATGGAAAACGCCAAGTGGACCGCACGCGTTAATCAACTCAAAGCGTACAGACGCGCCCAACAGTCAGTTAACACGCACGCATCATTTAGCTCGTGCATGTCAATCAGTGCGCGCGTCAATCAGTTCACGATGACGTCAATCAACGTACATTAATCAACTCGCGTGGAGCATACAAGTCGACACGACGGATGAGTAAACAAAACGAGAGAAACTACAAGTCCCAGAAGATCGGAAAAGTCATAAAACACAAGAAATCAGCGAAACAAAAAATCTCAGCGCACCGCTTTTTCTTGAGATTTGTTGGTTCCAGGGGTTTCTAACTGACCTGATATCATCCCCAAACGTGGTTAGGCTGTTGTTAACTGAAGATAGAGCCAAATCACTTGTTCTCATCCAAATAACCGCTTCTGAAGCCCTATAAATACAAACCTAGGGCCTCCTTTCAGTGGGGGCGATTGATTATCAAGACGAGGAGGTGCTGCCGGATTGTGGAGTCAAAGGAGCACGAATTTCAGCGAGGGTTGACAGATCTTGGCGAGTTCTTCGGCATAAAGAAGGAGAGTTCGAGAGATCCGACGCCCGTTCCCGTCCTTCCCTTGAGATTAGGCTTGGTCTTAATCTCGAGAAGAGCCCTGATTTCGCTTGGTCGATTTCAGCGCTTCAAATCAAATACTTCCTCGGCGAAGGCGAAACTCTGCCGAATTTTCCATCAACCGGATCCAGATCTAAGGCGGTCCACGGATAAACCCCGGCACAGGCAAAGGTCCCACGCAAGCAGAAGACCGATAAACGATCTATGCGTTTGTTTTGACGAGAGTTGTAATTTTTTGTTTTCATTGTGTAAAAGTCTTATAAAAAGACAATCTTTTTTGTTTTCATTGTAACGATTGAAGCGACGGAAACAAACTGGCGACCACAGTGGGAGCCAACAGCTTCACTGTCGGAGCTGTCGTGTCGCAACCTCGGATCTGCATCCCGGTTGAAGAAGTGGTCGAGTACGAGTTCGACCAACTGAAGTTCGAGGAATATCTGTCGTCCTCCTCCTCCAGATCCTCCGCCTCTCGCAAGCGAAGGAAGATCAACGCCCCCGTTGTTGCGGTAGCTGAACCTTACAACGCCCTTCCGGCCTCCAATGAGTTTGGATCTGCAGATCTGAACTCCTCCTCAATCAAAGAGTTGAGTACAGAAGGCGCACCTATTTTATCGAAGAGAACTCGTCAAAGGCAGCGCCAACGCTGTGCGCGCCAACTCGCTAGAGCCTTGGAGTTAATTGACGGGATCCGTTACGAGGCGGATCTGAAAATTAG